GTCTATGAGTTCGAATTAAATTCAGGTTTGTAATATAAAGACAGGTTCAAACCCCACTGCAGTCAGCATGTCGTTGTGTCCCTGAGACCCTTCACCCCAAATGGCTCCTGTGTGGATTGCCCACAGTATTGAGTATGTAAGTCGCTTTGGATAAAAGCATCTAACAAGTGACATGTCATGTAATAAAGGATAATCCTCTGCAACATGAACAGATCACTTTACCAGTAACCACAAGAAAATAAGGTTTTTGCAGAAGAAAAACTCATGAATAGAATACAATATGTATACATTAAGAAACGGCAGTACGGCTAGCTGCTTTACAAATAGAGCACACACAAAGGAAAACACAATATATTGACTACAACCCCCATAGACTGTACACTTTATCATACAATACGAAGTCAGCGTACTGGATGACTACAATCGATGTGCTCATGTTTATAGCAAGTTTAAGGATGTACCTAATGTCATTTTTTAAGATATTATTGTTTTGAATTAAGCTTCAGATGTCGGTCGTCACATCTTATAAAATCATCCGTTTGTATTAAGTGATTCACCAGATTAAATAAGTGGTATCAGATTTTAACTACACGACCATCATAGTCGAAATAATGTTCAAATAACAACATCAAGGTGATATCTGTAGAATGAATCTTTAATTTGTGTCTCTTCTCCGCACATTTTTACACTCAAGTTATGTGTGTAAGAAGTTGGAGAGGCAGTCTGTAACCAAAACTTAACAAGAGCAGGATTTAAGAGGCGTATAATTAACACGATAAGAATATTTGAGTATTTCAAAATACAACAAAAAAACAATAAAATACAAAAAAGAAAATAATATTAAATAAAAAAGAAATACAAATTAAATAAATTAAAACAATACATCCTCTCCCTTCCCAGGTCATTAACACAGGACTGAATAAAACCAGGGTCCCTCAGGGAGCTGAGTCAAGCTCCGGTGAGTTCTGTCGGAGTTGCTGGAAGAAAACCAGTGTTCAGCAGTATTAAAAATACACACAAGTCATGTTTTATCACATGTTTCACCCCGGGAGGAAATGAGCGACCAGAGAATAAATAGGCTTATTGAAGAAAGAAATGTCAAGGGCGAGATATGACTGTGTGGTGGAGGTTATGATGCTCAGAGAACAACTCGATCCATTCAGGACGAGCTGCAGGGTTTCTCTGGAGCTCTCCCACAGCTGAGCGTTTTCTTTCTCCACCTGTCAGCCTGCTCTCTTTGTCCGGCCTTTCCTTTGTGAGACGAGCGATTCAGACCCGGAGAGATCATCTGTCCCGCTGCCGAGCCAGTGTTGGGAGAGTAATGAAAAATTCACAATCGCAAAAAAGATCCTTTGCTGTATCGGTTTACCCTGTTCTCAGGGAAAGGGAGGCTAATTTCGTTTTTTGTGCAAAGCTACTTGCAAATGAATTAGTTCTCTCTCTCACCGTCACACACACGCACACACGCACACACACACACACACACACACACACACACACACACACACACACACACACACACACCATGTATACATCACTTCAGGGGACATTACATTGACTTACATGCATTTCCTGGAGACTTATCCTAACCTTAACAATAACCAACACATGCATAACCCTTACCCTTAACCTTACGCTTACTCTAACCCTAAACCTAAACATAACCAAGTCTTCACCCTAAAATTAATGATTCCCCTCATGGGGACCTCCATTTTGTCCCCATAAGGGAGGCGAGTCGCCACACGTGACAAACAGATTTAGGTCCCCACAAGTATATTAATGCTAGGCCACACACACACACACTCACACACACACACACACACACACACACACACACACACGCACTCACACTCTTTGTGACATTTTGCCAGGACAAGACCTCATTAGCACAAATGCTAAAACAAGTGCTAACCAGATTACAGGCATTGTATTACATTTCGACATGACTGTAAAAGGCTGCTTCAACCACAGTCTCACACCTATCACCTCCATCAGGGGCTTCAGTGGTACATCCTGGTACTTGGTAAGATATCGACCAAAGTAGTATTACAGTAAAACTTCTCCAGCTGCTCTTCTTCTTCTTCATTTGCTTCTCTTGTTCAGGGTTTGTAGGAGGTAGATCCTGAAAATATTGCAAGTCTTTGTCACATAGAAAAAGACAGTCGCCATGTAACCATATACGTCATTGAACTGGGGAAGGAAAGCCAAACAGCCACAGGACAAAAATGCAAAAAAATAACGTATACACATCTTTTGGTGCTCACTAAGGAATCACATGTCTCTCTGTAGCTTCACCAATCAACTTTCCTATTCCCTAGGAGAACGAAGAATGTTGATTTCCGTTTCTTTGTGTTTCCGCAGCATCCTGTTCGCAGACATCGAGGGTTTCACCAGCCTGGCGTCGCAGTGCACGGCGCAGGAGCTCGTGATGACGCTCAACGAACTGTTTGCCCGATTTGACAAACTGGCAGCGGTAAGAATATACATTGAACCTTATTTCATAGACAATAATGGTTCGTCTTTGAGAGTATTCGCCAATTACTCCTATGCAAATATCAAAGATACTTATGAAGAAAAGCAGAATTAATTTCCAGATTGATGGGACAGAAAATATAGAAATATAATTGACCACATCGCAGCCGATTTAGCCGATTCCTTTTCTCTTGTATTCATATTGAGGTAATCCAAAAGTAACAGAACTTTTAACAGAGCTTTTAAGGAGAGGAGCTGCTTCTCAAATCTGGCACAGAAATCTGAACCACAGCTTCATCGATGCTGCGTTCATGAATATTGATTTTATTTTACTTCATGTAGAAGCGTCATTATTTTTCCAGCTAGTATTCAATGTCTGTCATTTGTTTTTGAAAGGTGAATTAATGTGCTAATCAATATTCATGAGTGAAACGGGGCCAATGTCATGCCAGATGTAACACACACACACACACACACACACACACACACACACACACACACACACACACACACACAACACACACACACACACACACACACACACACACACACACACACACACACACACACACAGTGCTCTTTACACAGTGGGTCTTTTTGTGTTTTCCCAGAGCAATGTGCTAGAGAGATACTCAGGTGGTTATCATGAGACAGTGTTCCAATAAACCCCCACACACACACACACACACACACACACACACACGCACACATACACGCCGACGCCGCTGTGAGGTCTTTAAGCTCTAAGAAATTCTGCTTTCCATGTATTTGTGTTTTATTGTTAGGTGCAAATATGTAATCATGATTAACTCCACATGCAGTTATTTAATTGTCTTTAATTAGCATCTGTATTTGTTTCATTTTGATCCCTTATTTGTTTATCTGAAAAGTACAAAAAGAGATATATCAAATAGCGTTATATTATATTCTGTATATCCCTCCTAAAACCATCCCAAATAAAATAAAAAACATAATAATAACAAAACAATTGTAGTTATTGAGAAAAAATATTAAAATAAAAGCTATATATTTAGCTATAGTTGTAATGATGTGATTTAGTATCAATCAAGCCAAATCTGTCAGTTAAATTATAGTAATACTACTAACAATAATAATACATTTTCTTCAGAGAGTGCTTATCAAGTTAATAAAAAAAATGTACTTTGTGTATGTGTATATTTGTCTCTCCGCCTCCTCCTACAACAGCAAGTATTAAAGGATGGATGAACGATGTGTAAGATATTCAATATGAAACTGAGTCATTATGTAAACCTCACCTGTAGTGAATAAGTCAAGTCAAAGTCAACTTTATTGTCAATCTTCCAGTTTGTGTGTACAGACAGAGAGATCGAAATACAGTTTCCCACAATCCCGAATACAAAAATACAAATATATATATATAAACATGTACATACCTATTTATACATAATCAACAGACACATTTATACATATGCACACATTAAGACAAAAATAAAAGCACAACAATCAATATATACAAAATAACAGTCACTTCAATATCTTTGGGAAATGAACATTAGTGCAAGATAAGTGGTTCTTATCACCTGTGGTCCTCTCTCTCCCCTCAGGAGAACCACTGTCTGCGGATAAAGATCCTGGGCGATTGTTATTACTGCGTCTCCGGGCTCCCAGAGGCGCGAGCCGACCACGCCAGCTGCTGCGTGGAGATGGGGATGGACATGATCGAGGCCATCTCGTAAGTTACGCGGAGTTAAAGGGGCACTGCAATTAAAACGCCTAATTAGGTCAAATGGTGGGCAAGTTTATTTATACAGCGCCTTTCAACACAAGGCAATTCAAAGTGCTTTACAAAAATGAAAGACATTAAGAGCGTTAAGAAACCTATCATAAAATGGCATTTAAAAACACTCATTTAAAAGCAAAGATAATAAAACATGAATAACAGGTATATGGATAAAAGTTACAGTGCAGCGTGAGATGTGAATAGCTCAATTAAAAGCAGCGGCAAAAAGAAAAGTCTTCAGCCTGGATTCCAAAGTAGTCAGAGTTGCAGCGGACCTGCAGGTTTCTGGGAGTTGGTTCCGGATGTTCGGAGCATAATTACTGAACGCTGCTTCTCCATAGTAATGTAAGATCTTGTCTCGAATCTGCTCCATTATATAGACTTCTTGCACTATTTCGTATTTTTGTATTTGATTCGATATGTTGCATTGTTGGAGGAGCTCCACTACCCGCTACGTTATTCATTCATCCATTGTCTCTGATGTGTTTCCTCAGGCTGGTACGTGAGGTCACCGGGGTGAACGTGAACATGCGAGTGGGCATCCACAGCGGCAGAGTGCATTGTGGGGTGCTGGGACTCAGGAAGTGGCAGTTTGACGTCTGGTCCAATGACGTCACGTTAGCCAATCACATGGAGGCCGGGGGCCAAGCTGGGTATGAGTGTGCAACTTTAAAATGACTACAAACCTGTGGAAACCTGTACATTTACAGAGGTGTTTATGTGTCTTTATTTCAGACGAATCCATATCACCAAGTCCACTTTGAATTATCTGAATGGAGACTACGATGTGGAGGAAGGATCAGGGGGAGACAGGAACGCCTACCTGAAGAAGAACAACATAGAAACCTTCCTCATTGTGGGATGCAGTCAGAAAAGGGTACGCTACTCAATATTGTCTGAAATTTAACATTTTGATTAATTTGTGTTCTTTTTATACAAACCATTCAATGATTTGTAATAACTTGGTTTGTCATTTGAGTCAATAGGCGCTTTCACACCGGAGTACTTTTCCCCGTACTTTTCCCTTTTAGTTCCGATAGTTCCTGGGATTTTGCGTTCACACCAAAAAGAAAACTTAGTTCATGATATTTTTCCCCCCCTTTTCAGTCCCTGCTAGAGAGGTGGAACTATCCTGGGGAGAAAAAAGTTCCTGATTGGTTGGGCGAATTGCAAACCACGCCCCGTAAAACTCTGAAAAGTTTTGTGAAGCCGCCATTGTATTTGCTGAGAGAATAACTTATGGCAACACAAAAGAAAACATGGGAGCGGTGGAGATGAGGAGGTGTTCTGGCGATTTACTCGGAAGGCTTCAGTAGAAGCTGCTGGGAGTCCCAGCAGCTTCTACTGAAGCCAGTCCCCAACTCCGGGGACTTCCGGCCAGAGACTTCGGGCGGCAGTATACGCCGTGAAGTGGTTTGCGGCCTGCCAGTAAACCCAAAACAGAAGAAGAAGAAGTGACGTCAGCGGCTTCATTTGCCTAATCTTCCCTCAGGGACTTATTCCGGTGTGAACGCGATCGGCTCTTTAGTTCCATGGGGGAACAAAGTGCTGGGAACTAAATATGGCAAAGTACTTGGTGTGAAAGCGGCTATAGAGTCATTTTTAACCATTACAATCATTGGATGATTAAAACAAGATAGAAACTTCAAAACATGTGCAGGACATCTCTAATTAAGCTGTATTTTAATCTGAAACTGAGGGCTGACGGTACATGACCCTCTCTGTAGGGGTTGAATTAGTCTACTCAGCAAAATTGATTACTCCATTCTGATTGGTCAATTTGGACATTCCGTCAGGTTGTTAATTCTCGCTAACAGACCGCTGCTAAGGAGGATCAAGGGACTATTTGTAGTCATATCAATCTGCAGAAAGTCCGGTCGATTTAACGTCAGCTGTGGACAACAAACAAAAAATGCACTTTTTTATTTGTGGGGAGCACGAAACTTAAAAACAGAGCAAGAGAAGAGAGGAAAAAGGTTAATAGACAGAGCATTAAACTTCAAAATCCACAGAAGAAGGCAAACAGGAAGTGAAAACTAAAAGGAACAGTAGAAGAAGAGAAACAGGAAGTAAACACTAACGGGAACAGCAGAAGAAGACAGACAGGAATTAAACACTAAGTACAAACTAACGTAAACACATTATGGGCTCTTTAGTGTTTAAAGATTGATTAATAGAAAATAAATTGTGAACAGACCAGTGGCGTAGCCAGGAATGATTGTGTGGGTGGGCCTGGAGAAATGTTGGTGTGCCAGGGGGAGACCTATAGATCTACTTCCGACCCATGGGACCTTATTTCGGAAAAATTATGTATTGAAGTCAATGGAGAGAAAGATTATCTTTCGATCCCGTTTGAAATGTGCCACGAATTACACATATGATGATTGTCAATCTTAACAAATAATTTCCATTTCAGTTTGTCGTAAAACTGTTGAAATATAAGACGATGAAAAATACGCAACTAGAAAGACTACAAATCCCAGAGTCCCGGTCCCGCATGCTGGCTCTTAGGAACCGACTAACTCCCCTTGTGTGTATGCACAGCTCTCAACATGCCCAGACTTGGAGTGATTTTCACCTCTTTTAATACTTTCCTCCTCATTCTGAAAGAAAGAAGTGAAATGTTCCAACGTGACGGCCGTCTTGGTGTGTGGAGCGAGACGGGAGATGTAGTTCATTGAGCGGGTTCACACAAAAAAAGTGTTACTTCACAGTTTTACGACACATTTTGATTTTTTTGACTTGAAAACTATCTTTTAAATTGACAAACATCATATGTGTAATTCGTGGCACAATTCAAACGGATCGAAATATAATCTTTCTCTCTCCATTGACTTCAATGCATACTTTTTCCTAAATAAGGTCCCATGGAGCTCCCCGGAAAGGGAGGGACTTCGCCTCTCTATTGAGCGTGGGGTCTGAGCTGAAACTTCATTAATGATTTTATTTATTTTTTAATGCACTAATTAAACATAAGCATAAACTAGCAGTGAAAACAAAAACATACTGTAGGCACGGCGGCCTCAGAATGTGTAAAACTGACTTCCACATGACTGGCTCTGCGTCCACAGGTTGTTTATCCTCGACAGCCGCACAGTGGGCACACACTGAGAGTGTTTTCATATTCAGCACTTGTGTACACGCTTCACTGCAGACCTCAAGAAGAAATAAGACTTCCATTCACTCACGGCAAAACTTACTTTACTTACTAATTTACTCACGGTAAAAAAAATGCACTCCTTATTCCATTGTCATGAAGGTGGAATGTAACTATATCCAGAATACGTTTGATTGCATCCAGGGCTAGAAACATGTTTATTTCTGCTGTCAAGTTGGGCATGTTAACATGGGGGTCTATGGGAATGGCTCCTTTCTGCACCCATCCCCTGTCGGCCACTAGAGGAACTGCAGTTTGTGGCACTTCCTGCTGGGCTTCCCGGCTCTGCCCCAGAGTTTGCCGCTTGTCAGGAACGTCAAAATCGAGAGAAAACCCTTGATCAGTTCTCCCTTCATTTTAAGTTACGTTATCCCTTTCTTTAACATCATCACAGGTAACACTAAGACTCTATCTACACACCGCCAGTCCATGTTGCTCATATCATTGTTTATACCCTGTGCTTCTGTCCATGTGACCAGAGTTAGTCCCTCTCTCTTGTGTATGACTCTTATCAGCTGTCTGTCCTGCAGCAGTATCACAAGCTGGGACTATAGATAGCGCGCCATGTGAAGTGAAATCTCTGAGACAGAGGGGGGGTTGTACAGTCTGATCTTTCCATTTGGTTTTAGTTCTTTCTGTGGTAGCAAAAGTACATCCTAGAGCGAGTGTGTGATTTTAATGATAGGAAGCATCACAAGCAGAACATGATTGAGTTTAAAATGTTGAACATGAGCAGGACTGAGTGTTCGCACACATTTGATTGTTTGGCTAAGTAAAGTGAAGCAAACGATCAACCAATCAAATAAAACAATTGATATTAATATGCAACTTAGCATCATGATGTGCACATGATTCAACACCACAGTTTGTCTTAAGGATCAGCTGTTCCCATGCAAACAGAAGAGCTTTACATCAAGAATAGTGAACAGGAGCATTGATTAACAGCATGGTATTGTATCGTGTTGTTTTCTAATGTATGTCAGTGATATTGCTAGAATGTTCCCACACCACGCCGCTCCTCCGCTCCCTTCACTGGCTTCCAGTAACTGCTAGAATCCACTTCAAGACACTGGTACTTGCTTACCATGCTGCGAATGGATCTGGCCCTTCCTACATCCAGGACACGGTTAAACCGTACACTCCAGCACGTGCACTCCGCTCTGCATCAGCCAAACGGCTCGCTGCACCCGCACTGCGAGGGGGACCCAAGTCATACTTGCCAACCCTCCCGATTTTCACGGGAGACTCCCGATTTACTCACGACTGTTTCCACTCGGACTTTAATACAGCTACACCATTGTTTGGTTTCCATGGTAGCGCGTCTCTTTAGTAGCGCGCGCAACTGAAAGTCTGAGAGGGTGAGGAAGAAGATAGTCAGAGAAAACTGAACAAGAATCGACAACTCGACCCTCTGCTCACTCCTTTCCTGTAAATACAGGTCCAGCCCACATATGCTCCATCAAGGATGGTGCTTCAGGCCGCGAGGCAGTGCACTTACAGCTACAATAAGCATGTTAATGTTAATCTAACAGCTCCGGCGATCCACTAGCACCCCCCTGAAATGTAATGTAATGTAAGGTAATAATGAATAACAACACTTTTTTTCTTCTTCTGAGCTTTCATGATGTTAGTTGTGTCACTTTATTTGCCCAAATACACTGGAGGTGAACACAAACTGTCATGAGCTTTAAGAATGACAAGTGAGGCTCTATTGACTTCCATGGTCTTACAACTACACTTGTAAGTACAGACCAATTAAAAGAAAAGACTAATTTGACAACATCATTTACTGTATCATTTATTGAAGAAGGTCCCAACTAATTGACTCACTTTAAAAAGCAAAAAATGCGTAGAATTACAAAATATAAGTGGTACAAAAGCACAGTAATTGTACTCGTTGACTATCGGCCAATGGATGTAGACAGATCATATGAATCATCATATTTCAGAAGCTGCACGATTGTTAGCTAATCAAAACACTATGAAGACATTTGTGGCTGTAATTAAAGTGTATCTTTTGACTGAGATGTTGTAAGTGTTTCTATACCCTTGTGTCTTTATTCCCTACAGAAGGAGGAAAAGGCGATGAAAGCCAATTTACTGCTGCTTTTCCAGAGAGCATTAAACAACATGTTTTAACTTCCTTCAATGTCTTTTTGAATTGCCTTCTTTTCATTTCATTTATTTACTTTTATTGTGTCTAAATGCTTGTGTAAAGCACTTTGAATTGCCTTTTGGGATCAAATGTGCTTAATAAATAAACCAACCTTAATGAATGTATATCCTTATTCCCTACAGAAAGATGAGAAGGCGATGATAGCCAAGATGAATCGACAGAGAGCAAACTCTGTGACGCACAACAGCGGCCATTGGACCGACAGACCGTTTTACAACCATCTGGGCGGGAACCAGGTGTCCAAGGAGATGAAGAGGATGGTGAGGAAGGATTTTAAAAAGTGTCCTGACCTTCTGCTCTGGAGGGGCTGCTAATATAGTAACTGTTTTATCATAATGCCACAGCCAGGTGACTCCCCATGCCAATATATTATCTCAGCACTCACTTGGTGATGAAGCCAACACATTGTTAATACCCAGAATCCTTTGATCTGCGGTCATGATAAGCAGCTGTGATGGTCCTTCATGGTCCTCTCACCTCTCCCTGGTCTTTGAGAAGCTCTCACCAGAGATGGCAGGAGTACACACATCCTTTACTTAAGTAGAAGTACGGATACTCATGTTTAAAAATACTCTGGTAAAAGTAGAAGTACTGACTAAACTTCTCTACTCAAGTCAAAGTAAAGAGGGCTTTCAAATTTCAAAAAAGTACCCATAACTAGCAGCTGTTTTAAAGAGTACCTGACCTCCCTTTATATTAATAGAACAATAATGTCATTGTTAGCTAATGAATGTTTCCATGCTGAACAACGGCAACATGACAACGTTTCCATTGGTCCCTCTTCTTTAGAGAAGACCAGGAAATGATGGATACACGGATCGTGTTCAAATCAATAGGCACTGTAGGAGCAAACACAATAGTGGTGGCTTAAAGCCCACCTCTGCTCCGCGCCGTCCTTTAGATGAGCCTGGTCAGATTTAATAAAAGAAGGAGTTCAAAACACCGGCATAAAAGTTATAACAATAATCTGATTTTAATACAGTAAAAAACACAATACGAAATACAGAGTGCCCTGAAACAGAACACTCCGGGCTCTCCGCTCTACTGCCATGCGATACAGATATCGGGACCAGCCAGTCAGAAACAGGGGGCATTTTGCATGAAGAAACAACAGTATATATGGATATATTTGGGCGGAGATGTGTGTCGGCTCTTCCGTCCCATTTTACTCCTAAGGTGTTCTTACTGGTTGGATTCACTTTGGGTCGGGCCCAATACAGCGAATCAGAGTTCTGGGAAAAAGTATTTTTCTTCTGAACAGAGCGTGACAGCCTCGGAACTATACAAGGTCAGAATCACTTTTTATCTTATACCTGGGTTAACTCCTTTACTTTCCCAAGGAAGGTTTCACACAAACTATTCTTTTAAAACAATCAAACATTGTACACAGATATATTGGTGCTTGGGATTATATTGGCCCCAGAAAGATCCTTGAAAAAGAACATGTGTGTGTGTTAGTGAGGGGAAGTGTATGTGTGTGTGTGTGCTGATAAGCGGAGGCGTATGTGTGTGTGTTGCTGATATCTGGGTCAGGAAGTGTATGTATGTGTGTTTGCTGATGGGAGGAAGTGTATGTGTGTGTGTCAGGGTCTGTAAGTAAGAAGGTTTATATATATATATAGGATTACTTTAAAACAGTCCCAAATAATACATGTTCACTTCAATACAGTTCAAGATAATACCTGTTTACTTTAATACAGTTTAGAACAATATCTGTTTGCTTTAGCACGCAATGACTCTAAATAATAATGATCACGCCACCAAACACACATTCAAACTAAAGGAACCAGCCTGTTTGGAAATGTGAGAAGTAGAAAGTACAGGTATTTGTGTTCAACATGTAAGAAGTAGAAAGTACAGGTATTTGAGTTCAACATGTAAGAAGTAGAAAGTACAGGTATTTGGGTTCAACATGTAAGAAGTAGAAAGTACAGGTATTTGAGTTCAACATGTTAGAAGTAGAAAGTACAGGTATTTGTGTTCAACATGTAAGAAGTAGAAAGTACAGGTATTTGTGTTCAACATGTGAGAAGTAGAAAGTACAGGTGTTTGTGTTCAAAGTGTAAGAAGTAGAAAGTACAGGTATTTGAGTTCAACATGTAAGAAGTAGAAAGTACAGGTATTTGAGTTCAACATGTAAGAAGTAGAAAGTACAGGTATTTGGGTTCAACATGTAAGAAGTAGAAAGTACAGGTATTTGAGTTCAACATGTTAGAAGTAGAAAGTACAGGTATTTGTGTTCAACATGTAAGAAGTAGAAAGTACAGGTATTTGTGTTCAACATGTGAGAAGTAGAAAGTACAGGTGTTTGTGTTCAACATGTAAGAAGTAGAAAGTACAGGGTATTTGTGTTCAACATGTAAGAAGTAGAAAGTACAGGTATTTGTGTTCAACATGTGAGAAGTAGAAAGTACAGGTATTTGTGTTCAACATGTAAGAAGTAGAAAGTACAGGTATTTGTGTTCAACATGTAAGAAGTAGAAAGTACAGGTATTTGTGTTCAACATGTGAGAAGTAGAAAGTACAGGTATTTGAGTTCAACATGTAAGAAGTAGAAAGTACAGGTATTTGGGTTCAACATGTAAGAAGTATAAGTACAAAGTTGTCAGAAAAATAAGTAGTGGAGTAAAGTACTGATACCAGAAGTACAGTAACGAAGTATTTGTACTCCACTACTTCCCACCTCTGGCTCTCAGAGGCACTCGAAGCAACATGTAGGCGACGACCAAAACACCTTGTTGGTCTGCTGCTGAATGGAATAAAAAAAGACCCCCACCCCTTCTCCAAAGCTTGATATTGGCAGAATGGTGTGACCAGATTAATTTTCATTTACGTGCTGTAGCTCTCTGACTCACTCAGTTAATGGACGCACCCGCGCGCGCACACACACAGTTTTTTTTTGGTTTATTCTCATATCATCACCCACCTCTCTCAGTCATTCTATAATGAGGTAGTGTTCAAAAAAGGTTGTTCCTCATCCACAGTACTTTTTAAGTTTTACTTTTACCTAAAATCTGTTTAGAGCAGCTATAGGAGGTTCACATAATAGGAAGATCTGTTCGTTCTATTAATGAGTAGCTTGTGTTATTCAAAGTGTTTACTTCCATATTTACAATACTTCACGGTCATCTGTATATTTGTCTTACTCTCTAGTGCTGGTTTATTTCTATTTCTATTTTGAGATGTTTCTATTGTTATTGTTTATTTCTACTCTTTTAATTTGTTGTTATTTGCATTGCCTTGTTTTGTTTTATGCTGCTGCAACAAAAACAATGTTCCCAAATTGGGATTAATAAAGTATTTTATCTTATCTTATATAAAGTGTAGGAGAAGCTCGTGGTTTGCTCACCCTGTGCAACTCAAAGCCTGCGTTACACCTTAGAAACGTGGAGTTTAGAAGAAGGGAGCATCAACCAGACAGAGAATTGCATTGTGGGCCTTGTAGTTTTCAACAGAATATTTCAATAGGAACTTAAAAACTAGGATATCTCAGACTCCAGCTGTTCTCCTTCAGCTCTGATGTTCATGTGTTTGTCCAGAAGAGGGAGCTAGAGCGGTGCGTTAGATTCAAAGTCAGGCCGAAATACAAGGATTTCATTCAGTGCCGGATGTATGAGTATAATCCAAATAAAGGGAACTGTTATAATACTTTTAAAGGAATGCATACCAGTTTGTGATTAAATCAGAAGCTCCTTGATCAAAATGTAGATTATTTAATTGCAATTATTGGTGAACGATGATGATAACCTCACCTTTCTGAAACTAAGGACATAAGTTGCTAACATTGACTTCTTCACTAGTGTGTGTGCAACTTACTTTCTCCTTGTTTATCCTGGAATGAACCTTTTGAGTAAACCTCATCCTCTTTGTCTCTGCTCGGCGCTGTAACCTCTATTGTTTAATCTTTTTCTTATGTCACTTGTGTCTGAATCTGTTCTGAAACCTCCAGTCCCTCTCATATAATTGCTTGTTAGCCACAGTCTGTGTTCCTCCTGAGCTGAGAGTGGGAAAGATAGAAATAGAGTGGCGACAATGTTCAGCCCAGTTTGACGCCAATATCTTTTTTTAGCCGAACACCTTCTGGATTTCTTTCCTGCTGACTTGCTTCAAGCTACAGGAAACCTTTCTCTGATTAATTTCCATTTCTCAGACTAGTTATTATGTTGTCAGACATCCAATTTCCTACATTAGAGTGCCAGCATTCAAATGTGCCAATTATTATTGATTAGAATGAACGGTTGTCCAATCAGAGGCCTGAGAAGAGCTATTTTTTCAATCAAGAAAGAAAATATCTCAGAGATTCAAGTGATTTATGTTATGGTTATATCACCATGAAAGCTAAATGCTGTTGTTTATCTATTTGTTATTAAATTAAATGATATGAATGTTCACTGTAGCATCACTGCAGAAGCTCCCGCTGGGCCGCAGCTGTCAATTATGTGCATATTAATTCATCTGTCTATTCTTCATGCCTTGGCTATTCTCTATTCATTATCTTGTCTAAAATAACATTTGAAATGCTCATCACAAGTTACAGAGCCCAAAGGGAACTTGGTACTAAAGTCTAATACATTTACAGTGAGAAATAAACCAGAGAAAATCAACAAATTAATTAATATTTTAGACTTTTGATGTATTTCTACTTTATTATTTGCTGTTTGTGAATATATTTCATCAATTACTAGAGATTTTCTTTTACTATTTCCTTTTTTGAATGGTTTTATTAGAAGTGACGTGAGTCCAGCCTAGTTTAATAAAGGTATTGATTCAGGTTTTGACTGTTTACGTGTTTTACCTCGAGCTAATCCTCTCTGTTTTCTATCCTGCAGGGCTTTGAAGACCCTAAAGACAAGTGAGTAAAAACAGTTTCTCAACTTTAAAGTGTCTCATCCTGCTCTGTGATTTTGTCTGAGGGTGCGTCTCACTTCGGTTATTTTTAATTTCCTCGCTCCTCGGGCTCGGTATCACCGGAAGTTGATTTGTCTGTGCCATCTTGAGTACCGTCCCAGTGGTCTTATTTGTGCCGGAGGAGCGAGGACATACTTGCCAACCCTCCCGATTTCACTGTTTCCTCCCGGGGTCATATTACTCCCGATTTCTGACAAAATCAGATTTACTCACGACTGTTTCCACTCGACTTTAATACAGCTACAACATTGTTTGGTTTCCATGGTAGCGTGTCTCTTTAGTAGCGCGCGCAACTCAAAGTCTGAGAGGGTGAGGAAGATAGTCACAGAAAACAGAACAAGAATCGACAACTCCACCCTCTGCTCACTCCTTTCCTGTAAAATACAGGTCACATATGCTCCATCCTGCTACAGGCCGCAAGGCAGTGCACTTACAACTACAATAAGCATGTTAATGTTATAGTAATACAGCTCCGGCGATCCACTAGCACCCCCCATCGCTCACTGATTCTTTCACACACAGTGACGTCACGAGCTACCCACAATGCAACACGCGCCATATATATATATCTATATAGAAATACGCCATTTTCCTGGAGGTGCAAATATCCTGGAGGTGCAAATATAAACAGCTAGCTAACGTAGCCAGGCAGAGCGCACTAGGTTTTTTTTCTGAATTAACGACCGAAGAAATCGCTGCATGTCTTCGTATTACATCTCTGGACTTGAGGGGTGTGCTCTAGGTCGTTACCAGCGTAAACTAGAGCTGTGTGGGTTGTCCGATAGCCCTTACAGACTGCCTGCAGATGTATGGAAAAACGACCCTCGAAAGTGGCCTTCGTCGATTTTGGCTGCATCTACGTCTAATTTCTGGAAACACCAGGTGAATACCCCACTTGTCACAATAATATTATCATGCCATTGCATTGTGGTATTTTAGAGTTGACTAGATATTGATTAAGGCAATAGACTATGATATTCAGTACAGGAAGCTTAGCAACACCTAGACGGTGTACGGCTAAACCCTTGGCCTGCTTGCACCTCGCGTAAAATGGCGGATACCGGAAGTACGGTGTCGCCCTTGGCCCAATACCCGTATGTGTGTGTGAAAGAATTGGACTGATCGGACGATGCAGCGCATGCATCGTCACATGCATCTGGCTGCTGTCAGACGATCAGCTGTGTGGCGTCATCACAAACGGACGTCGCTTCACGTGACGCTCCGGAGGAAAGGACGTCCCATTGCTCTTAAAACTCATTTCCCTGCTTCTCGTGGTTTCCTTGCGTCCCTCCATGCTTCCCTGGTGGGAGGGACTAGTCGCAGGGAAACGACGCAAGTGAGGGACGCAAGGATTCCATTTAATCGAAGTGAGATGCACCCTGAGTGACTCTGGCGTTATGCTTATCGTAAATGAGAAAAATATATAACATATTTTGACATCAGAGCACTTTCAAATCTCATTTTGCACATCGACAAATACAGAGTCATTCAGTACCAGTTGGTTTTCCCTAATTTCACAAAGTACTGCCCTCGAGATGTACTATTTATCGGTAGCTAAAGATTGTTGGTTTGTCTAGTTGTATGCCAAATGAAGAACTCCTTGAAGTAGTAAATGGGAACAGACTCCCACTCCCATTATCACTGTTAGCAGGACATTAGCTGATAAGTGCCGTTCAAAACAGCGCAGGAGAAATTCAATCAATATAAACGACACTTTGCTGATTCTCTTATTAATCCAAAAAGAAACTGCGGAGTCTTTTGAGAAGGAGGGGAGTCATGATGTTTCAGGTCAATTGCCTCTTTTCACTTAGCTTATGATTAGCTAAATGATAATGCACCTCAGGGTGGAGCGTTAGCCTGATAAATGGTTTGAAGTCGTTCCTACCTTGTGAGAAGAGAATTAGCTTTTTGAGGAGAAAAGTTAAGTTCCAGGACAATCTGAAGAGTGTTTTCACTCCTCCTGAGATTTTAAAGGTCACCTATTATGCAAAATCCTCTTCTTCATGTCTCTTCTACATCAACATGTGTCCCCTCTTCTTCATGTCTCTTCTACATCAACATGTGTCCCCTCTTCTCCATGTCTCTTCTACATCAACATGTGTCCCCTCTTCTTCATGTCTCTTCTACATCAACATGTGTCCCCTCTTCTTCATGTCTCTTCTACATCAACATGTGATTCCCCCTCTTCTTCATGTCTCTTCTACATCAACATGTGTCCCCCTCTTCTCCATGTCTCTTCTACATCGACATGTGTCCCTCTTCTTCATGTCTCTTCTACATCAACATGTGTCCCCTCTTCTTCATGTCTCTTCTACATCAACATGTGTCCCCTCTTCTCCATGTCTCTTCTACATCAACATGTGTCCCCTCTTCTTCATGTCTCTTCTACATCAACATGTGTCCCCTCTTCTTCATGTCTCTTCTACATCAACATGTGTCCCCTCTTCTTCATGTCTCTTCTACATCAACTGTGTCCCCTCTTCTTCATGTCTCTTCTACATCAACATGTGTCCCCCTCTTCTTCATGTCTCTTCTTCATCAACATGTGTCCCCTCTTCTTCATGTCTCTTCTACATCAACATGTGTCCCCCTCTCTTCATGTCTCTTCTCACATCAACACGTGTCCCCTCTTCTTCATGTCTCTTCTACATCAACATGTGTCCCCTCTTCTTCATGTCTCTTCTACATCAACATGTGTCCCCTCTTCTTCACGTCTCTTCTACATCACATGTGTCCCCTCTTCTTCATGTCTCTTCTACATCAACACGTGTCCCCTCTTCTTCATGTCTCTTCTACATCAACATGTGTCCCCTCTTCTTCATGTCTCTTCTACATCAACATGTGTCCCCTCTTCTTCATGTCTCTTCTAAATCAACATGTGTCCCCTCTTCTTCATGTCTCTTCTTCCTCAACATGTGTCCCTCTTCTTCATGTCTCTTCTACATCAACATGTGTCCCCTCTTCTTCATGTCTCTTCTACATCAACATGTGTCCCCTCTTCTTCATGTCTCTTCTACATCAACATGTGTCCTCTCTTCTTCATGTGTCTCTTCTTCAGCACTTTGGAAACAGGGCTGAAACAGAGGGGATTATGGGTAATGCTGCAATGATCTGTTTGGTGTTTCAGCCAATCAGAGACATGTTCTGTATATATCTGAGACCTGTGATATATTGATGAAAAACAGTATAATAGGAGAGCTTTAATGTCACCTGGTCTCATCTTGTGTCCTTCAGGCATTTCAATTTCAGAAACACACAAGAAAACCTGAACCCAGAGGACGAGGTGGACGAGTTCCTGGGCCGCGCCATCGACGCCCGCAGCATCGACCGCCTGCGCTCCGAACACGTCAAGAAGTTCCTGCTCACCTTCAGAGAGCCCGACCTGGAGAAGAAGGTAAGGACACACACACACACACACACACACACACACACACACACACACACACACACACACCACACACACACACACACGCACACACACACACACACACACACACACACACACACTGTAAATAAAAGAGAGCACATAATTGGCCGTGACAAGCAATCTTCCCCGTGCAAAAAGCTCTTCCACCGCCGCTCGCTTTTCTCTGTCCCTCGAGGAAGTCAGTCAAAGTGTGTAACAGAGGAACGGGGGTTTAAAGAGGGAAGAGACGCTGCTAAAGGGAAAAGGAAGTGAAATATTTCAGACAGTGAAGGACAGGCTGAGATGAAAGGTCAGAGCTCGGCTCGCTGCAAACAAGTTTTGAGGAGAAGGAGAAGGAGGAGAAGTGTTTTCACATTTCAAACAGAGGAGGATATGAAAGTTAAAAAGGCCTTATTCTGCTTTTTGGGGGTTTTCTCTTTCCTGTAGCAGTTATTTAGGATTGTGAACAAGCACATGGTCTGCAAAGGCTAAAAGGAGTTTGTCTCCCACATTAAAGCATTACAGACATGTCCCGGTAGAGACACTAAATACTAATATGAACCTGAACATGATCAAGACGTCCCCTAAAGCAGGGGTTCTCAAACTTTTTGTTTATGCGGACCACTTTTTATTAAGAAGGATTTTCGCCGACCACCTCATATGCAAACCGTACAAATAAGTACATATATAAACGTTGTGCCAGATTCCAAGATGGACGGCTCTCGTTAGCCAGTGTCTCGTAGCACAGAACGCATACTGGCAAAGGCTCACCTTCAGTGCCTGTGTAGGTCAATCCCACTTCCAAGTAGTTCCCATTGTATTTTCTCTTAATCTTCCCTTTCTTTATTTTTCTCTGTGGAATCTGGCTTGGAGACAGGGGTGCACATCACTCTCTCAGCGAGGTACTCAGATGAGTACCTGGAGTCAGTGTTTGGTACTCCAACTTCTGACTCCACTCAAAAGTTATTTGATGAAGCCCTCTGTATCGCGAACGTCAACGGAGGGGGGGGGGTGGAGCGGTGCTAGTAGAGTACTTCAGGAAAGTCGACGGGGGGGGGCTAGTGGAGTGCTTCGTGACTACAGAGTGTGAACGTTGTGATCAGCTGTTTTAGCGCAGTTCTCCTGTGAAGGGGGCGGGGGGGGGGGGGGAGTCTCCCTCCGCAGCCGGTTGGCGTAGTTTTGGCACAATTCCGTTGTACAGACCGACGTTAACAGCAGCCCTGTCTGTGCACACGGAGACCGACTCTGTCGTCCGGTGATCTAACCGCCTTCTGGAATAGCTTCACAAGTACGTCGGGACGCAATGCGCTTTGTGACACAAGTGACGGTACGCATTTCAGATTGTTGCCGCGCATGCGTACCAGTTATGTGCACCCCTGCTTATAGATGCCTCCGACTCACTCTCATTATCTTCATTAACGGTAACCTCTTTTATCTTCAGAGAACCTGATGCTAGCCACCGATCCATGTTTGTGGTTTTGCACAAGCACACGTAACCATGGGTAACCATTGGTGAAATTAAGTGTTGTCCATAATTAACAATAACAAATATCTGCGTTTTAACACTACATTTATATATGTACTTATTTTTACAGTTTGCATATGAGGTGGTCCGCGTTTGAGAACCGCTGCCCTAAAGTATTCCAACATACTTAAAACCTGCACTGACCTCACTCTTTCTCTCATGGTGCAAAAACATTGATATTAAGCAACCAGTCATGCCAACATTAATTACACAGCTTTTCAATTGAAATGTATTGTAATATAATATTTTAACTGTACTATATACTATTTTATTGACCTGTACTTTAATCTGCTTTATAATGGTTTGTGTGATAGAGATTATGCAATGTTATTAGTGTGTGTTAATTGTTGTGGACCTGCCGAGTGCAGATGGAAATGTGCTATTAGCTAAATTCTGGCATAACCCATCTCTTCTCTTTTCTGAGATGAATGTATTTGTATGCATGGTCAAATAAATAAATCAAATAACCATCTGTTCCTGCTCTGACCTACCAAAGCCTTTTCATACACATTTGCACATGTCATGGCTTTATTTGACTGAGCTTTCAAAGAGACGAATGGGCTTTGCTTTCAGAGGGACACGTTTGAAATACATAGATGATTTAATGTTAAAATCCCCCCCCCCGCCCCCTCAGTACTCCAAACAGGTAGACTCCAGGTTCGGGGCGTACGTTGCCTGCGCCTCCCTCGTCTTCCTCTTCATCTGCTTCATCCAGATCGTCATCGTGCCATCGTGAGTCATCTCTTTGAAATACTACACCATAAAATGCATAATAAATACACGTATAGAAGGACATTCTCCCCGTGTGCAGCTCCAGTCTGATGATCGGCTTCTTCACCACCGGCCTCGTCATCCTCACCGCCGTCATGTTCGTCTCCACCGTGTACTGCTGCTTCGGGGTGAGTGTCCTCTGGTTGATTCTAGATAATGGCAGCCATGTATACATTTAAACGCAACGGGCTCTTGACCTCATAGCAAGTTCTTTCAGATAAGAGTTTCTAACTAAGTTCCTTATTGCTGAGTGCAGATGGCACCACTCACGATTCAGAATTACACATCTCATAACCCCTTCTCACCAAAGGGCAGAGCTTTAATATACATATTTGGGAAACGGTATTTCGATCTCTCTGTACACACAAACTGAAAGATTGACAATAAAGTTGACTTGACTTCAATGAGAAGGTGTTATAGTTTTAGGTCAGCTTGTTGGTGTGTCTCTACAGTACAGTAGAAATGGATATGATCAGTCTTCTGTGAGATTGTGCAAAGATCTTTCTGCCATTGTTAGCAAACAATTTGAAACATAGAGAAGCGTAATGCAATACATGTTTTAATTTGTATCTTATCCTTCCTGCTCTCTCTCCCCCCCCCCCCCTGCTCTCAGCTGTTCCCTGTCCCTCTGCAGACGCTCTCTAAGAGGATTGTGCAGTCCAGACTGAACAGCACCCTGGTGGGCGTCTTCACCATCATCATCGTCTTTCTTTCTGCCTTCATCAATATTGTAAGTTAAGACCATTAAAGGTCACCTATGATGCAAAATCCACTTCTTCACGTCTCTTCTACATCACCATGTGTCCCCTCTTCTTCATGTCGTCGTTCTACATCAACTATGTGTCACCCTCTTCTTCATGAATCTCTTCTACATCAACATGTGTCCCCATCTTCTCATGTCTCTTCTACATCAACATGTGTCCCCTCTTCTTCATGTCTCTTCTACATCAACATGTGTCCCTCTTCTTCATGTCTCTTCTACATCAACATGTTCCCTCTTCTTCATGTCTCTTCTACATCAACATGTGTCCCTCTTCTTCATGTCTCTTCTACATCAACATGTGTCCCCTCTTCTTCATGTCTCTTCTACATCAACATGTGTCCCCTCTTCTTCATGTCTCTTCTACATCAACATGTGTCCCCTCTTCTTCATGTCTCTTCTACATCAACATGTGGTCCCCTCTTCTCATGTCTCTTCTACATCAACATGTGTCCCCTCTCTTCATGTCTCTTCTACATCAAACATGTGTCCCCTCTTCTTCATGTCTCTTCTACATCACATGTGTCCCCCTTCATGTCTCTTCTACATCAACATGTGTCCCCTCTTCTTCCATGTCTCTTCTACATCAACATGTGTCCACTCTTCTTCATGTCTCTTCTTCATCAACATGTGTCCCCTCTTCTTCATGTCTCTTCTACATCAACATGTGTCCCCTCTTCTTCATGTCTCTTCTACATCAACATGTGTCCCCCTCTTCTTCATGTCTCTTCTACATCAACATGTGTCCCCTCTTCTTCATGTCTCTTCTACATCAACATGTGTCCCCTCTCTTCCATGTCTCTTCTACATCAACATGTGTCCCCTCTTCTTCATGTCTCTTCTACATCAACATGTGTCCCCTCTTCTTCATGTCTCTTCTACATCAACATGTGTCCCCTCTTCTTCATGTCTCTTCTACATCAACATGTGTCCCCTCTTCTATGTCCTTCTACATCAACATGTGTCCCCTCTGTGGAAAGAGACTCTGAAAGTTTCAGGAACAAAGATTCTCTCTCTTTTTGATCCATTTCTATAAAAACCTGTCTGAAAATGAGCTGATCAGATTTTGGCCACTTTATGATGTCATAACGATGTTCTGGCTTGAGTAACCAAGGTAACCCCCCCCCCCCCCCCCCCCTTATCACCTGAATCTCCTCCTAGAGCACCATTGAGTTCTTTGTAACCAAATGTCTCTCAGAGGGGCGTGGGGAGGGGCTCCTTATTTTCATCTAAAGTAACAGACAGAGAATCAGCACTTTGGAAACAGGGCTGAAACAGAGGGGATTATGGGTAATGCTGCAATGATCTGTTTGGTGTTTCAGCCAATCAGAGACAAGCTCTGGATATATCTGAGACCTGTGATATATTGATGACAAACAGTATAATAGGAGACCATGGGCCTAAAAACAACTGAACATGTCTCCTCTTGTGCCTGCTTCAGTTCACCTGCAGCAGCCTGGACCTGCGCAGCTACATCCAGGATGAGCTGAGCATCCATCTCTCCGCGGTGAACGCCTGCCACGCTCACCTGCTCAACTACAGCCTGGACGCCCAGCACAAGTCCTTGGGAGAGGACGTCCTCATCTGCAGCTTCCCTGAGGTACAAGACTTCCTTGTCCTCTGTTTCAAGTGCAAGGCTTTATTGTCATTTGTACATAGCTACAGTGTAGATATGGAAATGAAAAAGTTAGGTCACAGGCTCCTCCGGCAGTGCAACACATACAGTATACATGAGAGTAACAAATGCGTCACTTCCGGGCAAAAAGTATGGCTCCGCCCACTTTTGGGGGAAAACAACGCTGTCATTTGAATGGCGGTCAATACAAATTCTGAAGTTTTTGCCAATCCGATCAGAAATGTAAGAAAACCGTGGATTTTTGGATCTTCAGAGAGCCCGATTACGATGGCCAGACAGACAAACAATTACATGAAATCATTGGAAATCGACGATCGGATATGGTTACATATAGCAGTAGGCTATCGATTTTCATAGATGAGAGTAACATCTACGTCACTTTACGGCCCCGCCCACTTTTGGGAGAAACCAACGCTGTCATTTGAATGGCGATCAAGCCTGAAGCCACAGAGCTCTTCTGTTACTGTCCTTTCTTCTTAGAGGAAGTACAGAAACACTGAACTCTGGATTTGTTTTAAGCTGGAGAAATTACAGCCCCGCCTACTGATTTTAATTTAACCATATATCGAGACTGATTGTCGATTTCAAATGATTGAATGTAATTGTTTACCTGACTGGCCATCGTAATCTCTTTGAAGATCAGAAAATCCACGGTTTTCAAACATTTCTGATCGGATTGGCTAAAACTTCAGAATTTGTATTGACCGCCATTCAAATGACAGCGTTGTTTTCCCCCAAAAGTGGGTGGGGCCGTAATTTCCGGCGGGAAAATAGTGAATAGGACACTTCCCTGAGGTACTCCCTTGTTATCTGTGTGTGCATGGGGGTTATTTGCGGACACCTTCAAAGCCCAGTTGTGTAAAATAACTAAGTAGATTTACAATTTTGAGCATTTCCATTTGATGCTACTTTGTACTTCTTCTCCACTACAATTCAGAGGTAGTTTGTGTGCTTTTACTCCACTAGATTTATTTAATACATCTGCATAATGACTACTTTTAGAGTTTATTTAGATGCCATATTTCAAAGCCTTTTCTACTTTTGCTTGAGTAACATTTTGAATGCAGGACTTTTACTTGGAACAGAGTATTCCTCCACTCTGGTACTTCTACTTTTACTCAAGTACAAGGTCTGAGTACTTCTACTTTTACTCAAGTACACGTTCTGAATACTTCAACTTTTACTCAAGTACAAGGTCTGAGTACTTCTACTTTTACTCAAGTACACGTTCTGAATACTTAAACTTTTACTCAAGTACAAGGTCTGAGTACTTCTACTTTACTCAAGTACAAGCTCTGAATACTTCTACTTTTACTCAAGTACAAGATCTGAGTACTTCTACTTTTACTCAAGTACAAGCTCTGAGTACTTCTACTTTTACTCAAGTACAAGATCTGAGTACTTCTACTTTTACTCATGTACAAGATCTGAGTACTTCTACTTTTACTCAAGTTCAAGATCTGAGTACTTCTACTTTTACTCATGTACAAGATCTGAGTACTTCTACTTTTACTCAAGTACAAGATCTGAGTACCTCTACTTTTACTCAAGTACAAGATCTGAGTACTTCTACTTTTACTCAAGTACAAGCTCTGAGTACTTCTACTTTTACTCAAGTACAAGATCTGAGTACTTCTACTTTTACTCAAGTACAAGATCTGAGTACTTCTACTTTTACTCAAGTACAAGCTCTGAGTACTTCTACTTTTACTCAAGTACAAGATCTGAGTACTTCTACTTTTACTCATGTACAAGATCTGAGTACTTCTACTTTTACTCAAGTTCAAGATCTGAGTACTTCTACTTTTACTCATGTACAAGATCTGAGTACTTCTACTTTTACTCAAGTTCAAGATCTGAGTACTTCTACTTTTACTCATGTACAAGATCTGAGTACTTCTACTTTTACTCATGTACAAGATCTGAGTACTTCTACTTTTACTCAAGTACAAGATCTGAGTACTTCTACTTTTACTCAAGTACAAGATCTGAGTACTTCTACTTTTACTCAAGTACAAGCTCTGAGTGCTTCTACTTTTACTCAAGTACAAGATCTGAGTACTTCTACTTTTACTCATGTACAAGATCTGAGTACTTCTACTTTTACTCAAGTACAAGATCTGAGTACTTCTACTTTTACTCAAGTACAAGATCTGAGTACTTCTACTTTTACTCAAGTACAAGATCTGAGTACTTCTACTTTTACTCAAGTACAAGATCTGAGTACTTCTACTTTTACTCAAGTACAAGATCTGAGTACTTCTACTTTTACTCATGTACAAGATCTGAGTACTTCTACTTTTACTCAAGTACAAGATCTGAGTACTTCTACTTTACTCAAGTACAAGATCTGAGTACTTCTACTTTTACTCAAGTACAAGATCTGAGTACTTCTACTTTTACTCAAGTACAAGATCTGAGTACTTCTACTTTTACTTAAGTACAAGCTCTGAGTACTTCTACTTTTACTCATGTACAAGATCTGAGTACTTCTACTTTTACTCAAGTACAAGATCTGAGTACTTCTACTTTTACTCAAGTACAAGATCTGAGTACTTCTACTTTTACTCAAGTACAAGATCTGAGTACTTCTACTTTTACTCAAGTACAAGATCTGAGTACTTCTACTTTTACTCAAGTACAAGATCTGAGTACTTCTACTTTTACTCAAGTACAAGATCTGAGTACTTCTACTTTTACTCAAGTACAAGCTCTGAGTACTTCTACTTTTACTCAAGTACAAGATCTGAGTACTTCTACTTTTACTCAAGTACAAAGATCTGAGTACTTCTACTTTTACTCAAGTACAAGATCTGAGTACTTCTACTTTTACTCAAGTACAAGATCTGAGTACTTCTACTTTTACTCAAGTACAAGATCTGAGTACTTCTACTTTTACTCAAGTACAAGATCTGAGTACTTCTACTTTACTCAAGTACAAGATCTGAGTACTTCTACTTTTACTCAAGTACAAGTTCTGAGTGCTTCTACTTTTACTCAAGTACAAGATCTGAGTACTTCTACTTTTACTCAAGTACAAGATCTGAGTACTTCTCCCACCTCTATCAAAGCCAAAAATAGTCTTCTATTGTCTAGCTGCTTCTAGAGAAGCAGTGAACAGTAGGAGTGAGGAGTGAGGAGGCAAGGGATGCCAAACAGATGCAAGCTTACAGTAGATAGTGGAAACTGAGGTTTTCAAAAAGATCAAACGAGCAACACATTTGTCTGAAGCTGTAAAGCCAAATCATTTTAGCATTCCTGTAATAAATCAGAATTCCTTTGTTAGTCCCACGTCGAAGACATGTACAGCTTTAAGATGGACTTTATTAATCCCCGTGGGGAAATTGTTTCTCTGCATTTGACCCATCCTAGTGTTAGGAGCAGTGGGCTGCCATTTTGAACGGCGCCCGGGGAGCAGTGTGGGACGAACGGTGCCTTGCTCAGGGACACCTCGGTAGCACTTGGTCTTGCCGGGACTTGAACTGGTGACCTTCCAGTTGCCAAGCCAAGTCCCTATCGACTTCGCCACCACCGCCCCTTTACAGCATAAGTGACAGTGCAGAAAATATATACAGAAAGAGTAAGCTAACGTTTTAAATAGAGACAAGCACATCACACAGAATAGAGATAGTTAAACACACATCCATGGTAAAAGAAGTTCAGTCAGACAACTCAAGTGTTCTTAATATGTTTATTAGAGCAGCATATAGTTTGAGTTTGGCGTCGAACTCGGGCCTCATCGCTCCACAGATTTACAAAGAACATTGAGTGATGATTAGATAGAATGCAAAAGACTACATTTCACAAAGCAGGGTTATTGGACAAAATATCAACGTTATGTGTTGTGTTGTATCTGTTGGAAATGAACAGACATTATGCATGCTTCCTTTAGGAATGCTAGCTGTAGGATGCAGCCTTATTAATAAGTGAAATGAGGGTAAATGTTCTTTTATGGTGTGAACATGAGGCGAGGAACTGAACTGTAAAGTGATAGTCTCCTTATTGATTTTCAAAAGATACGTCATTGCAATAAAAAGGACACAATTGCTCAATCTGTCACAGTGGATACTTTAAGATGTCAATGCTTCAGACAAATGATATAATGTTGAACAGCAGCAGAACAAATGGATGCTAAGTGAGGGTGATTTCAGGTACATTAGAAATGCACAGTGAGGTCTGAATGAACAGTTAAGTGGTGAAAATTGCCGGCTTATGGCGTCTTTTATTATTATACGTCTGGATGTAACTCAATCAGCAGAACCGAGTGTCACAGAATATAAATTGTATTTATTTTTATTTTACCTTTATTTAACCAGGATAGGAAAAATCTATTTTTCAAGAGAGTCCTGGCCCAAGAATGGTAACAGCACCGTTACAGACCATTTTAAAACACACAATCACAACACAGTCATACAACAAGTTAGCCAAAGCATTTACAGCCACAGCGGTTTGCTTCAAGGTCATGTAGAGTCGCTTCAAGGTCATGTAGAGTCGCTTCAAGGTCATGTAGAGTCGCTTCAAGGTCATCGAGAGTCGCTTTGAGTTGGTTTAAAGAGGCCAGCTCAATTTGCAGCTGGTTCCAAGCCTCAGGAGCAACGTAACTGAACTTCCCCAGTTACTGACTTTTGGGACAGTTAGAAGAAACAAGTCGTCGGAGCGAAGCCGATAAGATCCTGTGCATTTTCGGTTTATGTAGATCCTTAGATAAGGAGGAAGAGCACCAAGAATAGTCTTGTATGCTTAAAGGGGACCTATCATACAAAATGCACTTTTTTATGTCTTCTCTACATCAACATGTGTCCCCGGTGTGTCAGGGAACTCACGCAGCGTCAGAAAATAAACCCCTCTCTCTTTTCCTCCGTACCCAAATCTCTAAAAACGGGGAACAACGGAGCTGATCCAGATTTGCGTCCGATATGACGTAATATCTGAAATGTGGACCCACGGCCCAATCAGAAACGTTGCTATCAGAAACAATGCCCGACTGTTCTGGACGTAATATGGTCGGTGTTTACATTAGCATCGCTAACACTCAGAGCTAACCTGGACTGGAGGAACTCACCTTGTGGTATAACCAGCAAGAGAGAAAGCCTTTGAGCTCCAGACTGTTTCAGAGAGAATCCTTGATATGGCGTTTCATCACCGCAGTATTTAGTTTAGACAGTAGCTGCCGGGTCCCGCATGAGCTCAGACCCCTCCTCTTTTAAAGCTTTATCCCCAAATCAGCACTTTTGAAACAGGAAGTGAAATAGAGGGATAGGAGGCATGGCTAGAATGGGGGATCTGTTTGGTATTTTGAGCAAAACACTTCATAGACATGTTTTGTATATATTTGTATATATCTGAGACCTATGTTATTGCCTAAAATTAGCACGATAGGTGACCTTTAACACAAAAAGTAAGGAAATGTGTGTTTGGTAGATGATTTCTATGTTGTAACAATGCTTCTTGTCAATACATCTTATACCGTTGCAAAGTTTGGCACTAGCAGAGGAGATTTGTCAAATTTGTCATGGGAGCAACACATACTCAGCTCTGCTACCTCTACCATTGGAAAGGTACGAAAACAGGCTCTCCAACGGTGTAAGATTCATTGCCAAGAAGCATTGTTACCACAAATAAATAATCTACCAAACACACATTCCCTTACTTTTTGTGTTACAGTAAGTTCGTGCCAGTGTTTCTAAAGCGCGATTATAACATATATAAATAACTGCATCCTTCCTAACGCCCTCTCTTCTCTCCGTCAGTACTTCTCCTGCTGCGTGCTGCTCAGCCTGCTGGCCTGCTCCGTCTTCCTGCAGATCAGCAGCATCGGGAAGCTCTTCCTCATGCTCTTCATCGAGCTGCTCTACCTGCTGGTCATGGAGGTTCCCAAAGTCAGTCTGTTCGACAACCAGGACCTGCTGGTGATGGCCAACACCGTCACCATCGTGTAAGTGTATCACTGTAGGGGCGTGTGTGGTTTTTAACGGCTGTTGTGTTTCATATTTGTACAGAATTTATAAAAATAATTATTATAATAAAAATACAAAATATGAATAATGATACAAAATTACAATAATAGTACAAATAATATTTATAATACCAATAATATATTCAATAATATTACAAAACAAAAACATACAATAAAAGTTAAAAAATAATAATAATACAAAACATCAAATTAAAATAATAGTAATTAATAATAATAAATAATATGTCCAATAATATTACATAACAAAACAATATAATGAAAGTAAAACAATAAATAATAATAGTTAAAACAAATACTAATAATGACAACAATAATAATATCAGTAATAATTAGGGCCGGGACTCGATTAAAAAAATTAATCTAATTAATTAGAGGCTTTGTAATTAATTAATCGAAATTAATCGCATTTTTAATCACATATAAATATTTGACCTGAGAACAGTGAGAAGCAATTTTTTCACATGGATTTTAGTATACCATTAGGCGCATTCACACCGCAGTACTTTTCCCACAAAGGTTCATGAGAACTTAGTTCATGAGAACTCTTTGAACCTGGGGGAGGATTAGGCAAATGAAGCCGCTGACGTCACTTCTTCTTCTTCTGCATTGGGTTTACTGGCAGGCCGCAAACCACTTCACGGCGTATACTGCCGCCCAAAGTCCCGGCCGGAAGTCCCCGGAGTTGGGGACTGGCTTCAGTAGAAGCTGCTGGGAGTCCCAGCAGCTTCTACTGAAGCCTTCTGAGTAAATCGCCAGAACGCCGACACCTCCTCATCTCCACCGCTCCCATGTTTTATTTTGTGTTGCCATAAGTTAGTCTCTCTGCGTTTCTGCGCTGGGCTAATGCTAATAATGCTAATGCGAGGATAATAAAATGGCGGCTTCACAAAACTTTTGGGAGTTTTACGGGGCGTGGTTTGCAATCCGCCCAGCCAATCAGAAATATAGCTCTTTTCTCACAAGAGAGCCGTACGAAAGTCCCTGCTCTCTAGCAGCTCTCTGCTCTCTAGCAGGGACTTTCGTGGGGGTAAAAAGGTTCTCATGAACTAATTTTAGTACCGGCTCTTTTTGGTGTGAACGCGATAAAAGAGGCTAACGTCCACGCTAGCTGCTATATGTTTTGCATTGAGGTGATACTTGAGGCTTGATGTGCTGCGGTGGTATGCGAATTCCTTTTTGCATAATTTGCACACAACCGTGCTCTTATCGACGCTTCCATCCGTCCGTTTTTTAAAACAACATTTCCCACTGTTGTTCACTGTGGTTTGTTGTTGTCTGAAGTCATGAACGTTAGTTGGTGCTCCAGTATAATCGGTACGCCTGAAACTCATCCAGTGAGAAACGTTCCGCGGTGCAAAAATAAGTGCGATTAAAATGCGTTAATTTTTTTAACGCGTTAATTTTTGTGTAATTAATTAATCTTAATTAACGCGTTAAAGTCCCGGCCCTAGTAATAATACAAATATTAGTTTTGTTTAAAGGTTAGAGGTTTAAACATATGAGCAAGTATGCACCATGCGTTAAGGTACATGATTCCAGGGAATAAAAAAGGGTTAGTAGGCTGGACAAAAAGTTAACAGATAACCCACACAGTTAAAGCAAGAATACATCCAAAAATAAACTGAAAACTGTAAAATAAGCTTGTTCTCAGCTGGTGTTTTAAAATGTCTAGACTCTCGATGTTTGCCTCACTGATCGTCTCTTCTCTCTGCCCCCCCCCCCCCCACAGCGAGCACATGAATATAACAAGGTGAGACTGATGGCTCCCAAACATCGCCTCTGAGGTCTGATTAAGCTAACAGCATCATTGTCCCTGTGCTGACTCCAATGCTACCATAACTGCTGGCAACCGATGCTAACGCTAATGAGCCAACATTCAGAGGGCAGCTTGCTTTGGTGTCACAGTGTTCTTGCTCAACACCCTTACAGAATAACTTAACACCTGTCTGTTGAGTTGTGCTTAAGCATAAAACATCTCAACATTATGTGTGTGTGTGTGCTCCAACTCCAGCTGCATGATGTACTCCAAGGTTCCTCTGAAGATCATGACCCCGGTGGTCATCACAGTCTTCGTCCTCGCTCTCTATCTTCACGCTCAGCAGGTGGAGTCAACGGCCAGACTCGACTTCCTGTGGAAGCTGCAGGTCAGTGTGTGTGTGTGTGTGTGTGTGTGGTGTGTGTGTGTGTGTGTGTGTGTGTGTGTGTGTGTGTGTGTGTGTGTGTGTGTGTGTGTGTGTGTGTGTGTGTGGTGTGTGTGTGTGTGTGTGTGTGTGTGTGTGTGTGGGTGCTGTGTGTGGTGTGTGTGTGTGTGTGTGTGTGTGTGTGTGTGTGTGTGTGGTGTGTGTGTGTGGTGTGTTGTGTGTGTGTGTGTGTGGTCGTGTGTGTGTGGTGTGGTGTGTGTGGTTGTGTGTGTGTGTGTGGTGGTGAGATTTGTACCAAAACCTTTTTTTTATGTTGCTTTTTTATATATCTTCTTTCCTTTTTTTTACTTCTTTTATTACTTGTATTTATTACTTCAAAACGTTTTTTTTTATTTGTAATATTAATATTTTAATATATTTAGAGATTGATAATAGATGTCCATGTATCAATACAATATTGCCACAGCATATATCTATACGTATGGATTTTCTTATCCCCCCCGCCCATAGTAAGTGCAGCACCCTCATAAAAAGCACCCTCATAAAAAGCACCCTCATAAAGAGTCCTATTATCATATGGGGAGTTAAAATATCTGAATGCATATCCAATAGGGGTGTAACGGTACACGTACCCGTACCGAAATTATTCGGTACGGGCCCTTCGGTTCGGTACAGGTGTGTACCGAAGTGTACCGAACGAATATAACGTTAAACGTAAAAAATTGAGAACGTGAACAACTTTTTGGAAGTAATCTCAGGTGCTGCGTCGCAGCATTCAGAGTAATTTGGTCACATTGGGTTCAACGCGTCATAGAGCGAGCAAGTCATTTCATTGGATGAGAGGCATACTATGAGAGCTGGTCAGAGGGATGCGTTCAAATGTAGTCAGTAATTTGAGAAACTGTCGAAAATTAATGGCGAACGCAGATAAAGTTGAGCTCGAAAATCCTCCAGCATCATTGAAGTCTCCGGTTTGGGAACATTTTGGTTTCGCAGTTACGTACAAGGATGACGGGCAAAGACAGGTGGACCGAACCAAAGCTGTTTGTCGGCATTGTTCAACTAAAATTGGTTACGCGGCTGGCAATACATCAAACTTGCACACTCTTGAAAAGGCATCACCCGAACGTGAATATCACCGGTACCAAAAGAAAAAAGACTGAAGTGCAAACCCAACTCCCGCTAGCATGTAAGCCTCCACCACTCGCAAAAAGATCAGACCGAGCCAAAGCTATTACAAACGCCATATATCCTTATGTTGCCATGTTAGCAAAGCGCTACCTGGCTGTATCTGCTACCTCTGTCCCTAGCGAGAGGGTGTTCTCCACAGCAGGAGACATTGTTAGTGCCAGCAGATCTGCCCTTTCGGCAAGCAATGTGGACAAGTTCATTTTTATTTAAAAAAACATGAAAATACAATGACAAGCAAGTCATAATGTCAAACTGGCTGCTTAGGAACTAGTACAGTTGAAATACAGATTATTTCAGTTCATCGAAAAGCTGCACCTTAATGTTTATTTTATTATATTTTGTATTTATTTGAGTGAATATTCAGTTTAATAATAATTAAAAACCCAAAACTAATAGTTTATATTTTGTGAGTACTAGTACAGTAAAGTTCAAATACAGATTATTTCAGTTCATCGAAATGCTGCACCTTAATGTTTATTTTATTTTGTATTTATTTGAGTGAATACATTATTCACAGTTTAATAATAATAAACAAAATATATATATATATGTTTTGTTCTGTGAAAAAAAATTCTGCTGTACCGAAAACGTACCGAACCGAACCGTGACCAAAAAACCGAGGTACGTACCGAACCGAAATGTTTGTGAACCGTTACACCCCTAATATCCAAGTTATCAATATACAGTATTACACTGAATAATTAACATGTTGTCATCGCTACAGGACGGATCCTTAGGGTTTAACCTCTGGACGCCATGCATATTTGTACCACATTTGAAAAACAATCAATTGAATTACATTTAACCCCGAACAGGCCACGGAGGAGAAGGAGGAGATGGAGGAGCTGCAGGCGTACAACAGGCGTCTGCTCCACAACATCCTGCCCAAAGACGTGGCGGCTCACTTCCTGCAGCGCGAGCGGAGGAACGACGAGCTCTACTACCAGTCCTGTGAGTGCGTGGCCGTCATGTTCGCCTCCATCAGCAACTTCTCCGAGTTCTACGTGGAGCTGGAGGGCAACAACGAGGGGGTGGAGTGTCTGCGGCTGCTCAACGAGATCATCGCAGACTTCGACGAGGTGAGATGGAAACTTATGTGTGTGTGTGTGTGTGAGTCTTAGGGAGTGACAGTTTACCTGAAAACATCCTATAGTGTTCGTTGTAAAAGGATCGGATGTTATCTCTTCTCTGTAAACTGTACTGTTCTGTAGGATAGGCCTTTTTCTTAAAGGTGGGGTAGGTCATTTTGGAGAAACCAGCTCGAGTGCTCTAGAATTTGAAAATACACAGCCGGAACAAATCTTCATCAGACTTCCTTACAGAGCCCCTCCCCACGCCCCTCTGAGAGAGATTTGGTTACAAAGAACTCAATGGTGCTCTAGGAGGAGATTCAGGTGATAAGGGGGGTGGGGGTTACCTTGGTTGCTGATTGGCTAATGGTTACACAAGACAAAACATCGTTATGACATCATAAAGTACAAAATCTGATCAGCTCATTTTCAGACAGGTTTTTATAGAAATTGATCAAAAAGAGAGAGAATCTTTGTTCCTGAAACTTTCAGAGTCTCTTTCCACAGAGGGGACACATGTTGATGTAGAAGAGACATGAAGAAGAGGGGACACATGGTGATGTAGAAGAGACATGAAGAAGAGGGGACACATGTTGATGTAGAAGAGACATGAAGAAGAGGGGACACATGTTGATGTAAGAGACATGGAGAAGAGGGGACCATGTTGATGTAGAAGAGACATGAGAAGAGGGACACATGTTGATGTAGAAGAGACATGAGAAGAGGGGACACATGTTGAAGTAGAAGAGACATGAGAAGAGGGGACACATGTTGATGTAGGAGAGACATGGAGAAGAGGGGACACATGTTGATGTAGAGAGACATGAAGAAGAGGGGACACATTTGATGTAGAAGAGACATGGAGAAGAGGGGACACATGTTGGAGGTAGAAGAGACATGGAGAAGAGGGGACACATGTTGATGTAAGAGAGACATGGAGAAGAGGGGACACATGTTGATGTAGAAGAGACATGAAGAAGAGGGGACACATGTTGATGTAGAAGAGACATGGAGAAGAGGGGACAACATGTTGATTGTAGAAGAGACATGAAGAAGAGGGGACACATGTTATGTAGGAAGAGACATGGAGAAGAGGGGACACATGTTGATGTAGAAGAGACATGAAGAAGAGGGGACACATGTTGATGTAGAAGAGACATGAAGAAGAGGGGACACATGTTGATGTAGAATAGACTAGAAGAAGAGGGGACACATGTTGATGTAGAAGAGACATGGAGAAGAGGGGACATGTTGATGTAGAAGAGACATGAAGAAGAGGGGACACATGTTGATGTAGAAGAGACTAGAAGAAGAGGGGACACATGTTGATGTAGAATAGACTAGAAGAAGAGGGGACACATGTTGATGTAGAAGAGACATGAAGAAGAGGGGACACATGTTGATGTAGAAGAGACTGAAGAAGAGGGGACATGTTAGAAAACATGAAGAAGAGGGGACAAATGTTGATGTAGAAGAGACATGAAGAAGAGGGGACACATGTTGATGTAGAAGAGACAATGAAGAAGAGGGGGACACATGTTGAATGTAGAAGAGACATGGAAGAAGAGGGGAACACATGTTGATGTAGAAGAGACATGGAAGAAGAGGGGACACATGTTGATGTAGAAGAGACATGAGAAGAGGGGACAACATGTTGATGTAGAGAGACAGGAAAAAGGGACACATGTTGATGTAGAAGAGACATGGAAGAAGAGGGGACACATGTTGATGTAGAAGAGACATGAAGAAGAGGGGACACATGTTGATGTAGAAGAGACATGAAGAAGAGGGGACACATGTTGATGTAGAAGAGACATGAAGAAGAGGGAACACATGTTGATGTAGAAGAGATATGAAGAAGAGGGGACACATGTTGATGTAGAAGAGACATGAAGAAGAGGGGAACACATTTGATGTAGAAGAGACATGAAGAAGAGGGGACACATGTTGATGTAGAAGAGACATGAAGAAGAGGGGAACACATGTTGATGTAGAAGAGACATGAAGAGAGGGGACACATGTTTGATGTAGAAGAGACATGAAGAAGAGGGGACACATGTTGAGGGTAGAAGAGACATGAAGAAGAGGGGACACATGTTGATGTAGAAGAGACATGAAGAAGAGGGACACATGTTGATGTAGAAGAGATGATGAAGAGGGGACACATGTTGATGTAGAAGAGACATGAAGAAGAGGGAACACATGTTGATGTAGAAGAGACATGAAGAAGAGGGGACACATGTTGATGTAGAAGAGACATGAAGAAGAGGGGACACATGTTGATGTAGAAGAGACATGAAGAAGAGGGGACACATGTTGATGTAGAAGAGACATGAAGAAGAGGGGACACATTTGATGTAGAAGAGACTATGAGAAGAGGGGACACATGTTGATGTAGAAGAGACATGAAGAAGAGGGGACACATGTTGATGTAGAAGAGACATGAAGAAGAGGGGATACATGTTGATGTAGAAGAGACATGAAAAAGAGGGGACTACATGTTGATGAAGAAGAGACATGAAGAAGAGGGGACACATGTTGATGTAAGAAGAGACATGAAGAAGAGAGGGGACACATGTTGATGTAGAAGAGACATGAAGAAGAGGGGACACATGTTGATGTAGAAGAGACATGAAGAAGAGGGGACACATGTTGATGTAGAAGAGACATGAAGAAGAGGGGACACATGTTGATGTAGAAGAGACATGAAGAAGAGGGGACACATGTTGATGTAGAAGAGACATGAAGAAGAGGGGACACATGTTGATGTAGAAGAGACATGAAGAAGAGGGGACACATGTTGATGTAGAAGAGACATGAAGAAGAGGGGACACATGTTGATGTAGAAGAGACATGAAGAAGAGGGGACACATGTTGATGTAGAAGAGACATGAAGAAGAGGGGACACATGTTGATGTAGAAGAGACATGAAGAAGAGGGGACACATGTTGATGTAGAAGAGACATGAAAAGAGGGGACACAGTGTTGATGTAGAAGAGACATGAAGAAGGGGACACATGTTGATGTAGAAGAGACATGAAGAAGAGGGGACACATGTTGATGTAGAAGAGACATGAAGAAGAGGGGACACATGTTGATGTAGAAGAGACATGAAGAAGAGGGGACACATGTTGATGTAGAAGAGACATGAAGAAGAGGGGACACATGTTGATGTAGAAGAGACATGAGAAGAGGGGACACATGTTGATGTAGAAGAGACATGAGAAGAGGGGACACATGTTGATGTAGAAGAGACATGAGAAGAGGGGACACATGTTGATGTAGAAGAGACATGAAGAAGAGGGGACACATGTTGATGTAGAAGAGACATGAAGAAGAGGGGACACATGTTGATGTAGAAGAGACATGGAAGAAGAGGGGACACGTTGATGTAGAAGAGACATGAAGAAGAGGGGACACATGTTGATGTAGAAGAGACATGAAGAAGAGGGGACACATGTTGATGTAGAAGAGACATGAAGAAGGGGACACATGTTGATGTAGAAGAGACATGAAAAGAGGGGACACATGTTGATGTAGAAGAGACATGGAGAAGAGGGGACACATGTTGATGTAGAAGAGACATGAAGAAGAGGGGACACATGTTGATGTAGAAGAGACATGAAGAAGAGGGGACACATGTTGATGTAGAAGAGACATGAAGAAGAGGGGACACATGTTGATGTAGAAGAGACGTGAAGAAGAGGGGACACATGTTGATGTAGAAGAGACATGAAGAAGAGGGGACACATGTTGATGTAGAAGAGACATGAAGAAGAGGGGACACATGTTTGATGTAGAAGAGACATGAAGAAGAGAGGACACATGTTGATGTAGAAGAGACATGAAGAAGAGGGGACACATGTTTGATGTAGAAGAGACATGAAGAAGAGGGGACACATGTTGATGTAGAAGAGACATGAAGAAGAGGGGACACATGTTGATGTAGAAGAGACATGAAGAAGAGAGGACACATGTTGATGTAGAAGAGACATGAAGAAGTGGATTTTGCATACTAGGTGACCTTTAATATGCCGGCTGTTCCCCTCCTGCACCCTCAGATCATCAGTGAGGATCAGTTCCGTCAGCTGGAGAAGATAAAGACCATCGGCTCCACCTACATGGCGGCCTCCGGCCTCAACGACTCCACCTACGATAAAGTCGGCCGCTCGCACATCCGCGCGCTGGCAGACTACGCCATGAGGCTGATGGACCAGATGAAGTACATCAACGAGCACTCCTTCAACAACTTCAAGATGAAAATAGGTGAGCCGCTGAACAGAGGGAAGGAGCTGAGGGCTTTTCAGTGGAAATACAAATAAGTTAACTGACTCAGGAGGGAAACACCAACACTAGCTTATTTACAAACTGATATACCGTTATGGCTAGGCAATATGTATTATACTTGTGATAGCCCTTCATGGTGAGTCAACATCTTTGGGTCTTTTATCATTAATGACTGTAAATGATCCTGCTTATTACATGGCTACACATTATATAAACCTACGACTTCACTCACAATATCAAAGACTATATTCATATCGCCTTTATTATGAGATTAAAAAACTCAATTTAAACACTGTTTCCAAAGTAAAAAGATTATTCGTTTGTGCATCCAAGTCCAGCTGGTTTGTTGTTAAAGACGAGATATACAGCAGCATGTTAACAGTGACAGCGAAAGACATGCGGAACTCTGGAATGTTCAAATTGACCAATCAGAATCGAGTATTCAACCAAGCCTAGGACTAGATATTGTCTTTGATTTTGAAGTGTTGTCTTTCCTGGTTTTAAAAGATGCAGTTCGCTTCAGGCAGGGGTCTGCAACCTTTTTGACCAAAAGAGCCATGTTGCCCCCTTTTCCAACTATTTGTTTTGTCTGGAGCCGCAAAACATATTTGATAGCTTATGAAGTTGTATTTATTGTTATATCATACACAACAAATACAGTTTTTTTGCATTTATTATTTATTACATTATAGAAAACTGTTTACCTCTAATAAGAAACAAAGAACTCTTATAAGGAGAATTAGAACAAATACACAGGCCTACTTTAAAATAAATCAACACAGCACTTTGGGAGTCCTCTGCACATTTGAAGGGAAACAAATACAATTAAAATTGACCCACTCTGAAATAAATAAAACATAGCTGCACCCTAAAGAGTTTACTGATTGAACTATGACTGAAGATCGTCAGCTGTCTTCCTCTTCCGTGTTTTTCCTCCAACACGTAAAGGCTGCAGCTCCTTTGACAACTTCTCTCCACATATCAAACATCCCGGTAAGCCAGCGTCGTTTGCTGTGAAAGCAGAACTCTAACCACGCAGAATTAAACCCTCTGTGTTCCTCCGATACTTTTATTATATTTAATTTATCCATAGCTCGCTCATCGAGCCGGGGGTCAGGTCATTCACCTGTAAGCAAAGGCGCTGGCGCGGGACCGTAGCAGGATGTGACGCATATTTGAGTTGACCTAATTAAAACCGTTTTGTTTTTTATTCACATGTCACAGTATCACCTCAAAATACAAGAGACGAAACATTTTCAACCGTGCAATAAAATATAAATAGTCCTACAAATACTTTTGTTTTATTTCCTTCTTATTTTTGTCTAAATTCAAGGGAGCCGCGGGTTGCCGACCCCTGGCTTAAGGGATGTGACTGATGGGCTTTACTGGACTGGTAGCCTTTCATTGACTTGCCTTTACCGACTAAATCCTTAATCCATGTTACTGATGACGATTTCTTTAAATAATCAGTGTGTTCATATTTTGTGAAAGCCTCATCGGTCAAGCCGTCAATATCGTCGCAACATCGTTACCAAAGTATTCAGTCAAAAATATGGGTATTTGTTTTTATCTTCAGATCACCCAGCCTTTATAAATGATATACTTATTTTGGGGACTTAAACACTCAATTTAAACAGTTTCCAAAAGTAAACACTTGTAGAATATATTCTCACATTATTCGTTTACACATCCGAGTCCAGCTGGTTTGTTGTGAATGACATACTGTGTCTCGTCTTGTATTTGTTCATTGTATTTTAATTTTCTCTCTCAGGTCTCAACATCGGCCCTGTGGTTGCCGGGGTGATCGGGGCGAGGAAGCCTCAGTACGATATCTGGGGAAACACGGTGAACGTGGCGAGCCGCATGGACAGCACCGGGGTACCGGAGAGGATCCAGGTGAAGTCTCATTTTAAACATGTCACTACACTGATTTCAGAGATATGAAATAAAAGTAAAAACATGCTTTTATCAAATTCTATTCAATTCAAGGCTTTATTGTCATTTTCACATTAGCTACAGTGTGGATATGTCAATGAAGAACGTAGGTCACAGCTTCCTCCAACATATATGTAGGGCATAATAATAATAATAGATTTAATTTGTTAGCGCTTTTACAGGTGCTCAAAGACGCTTTACAGATATAGTGAAGGGAAAAGAAAAGGAAGGAAAAACAAATAAATATATAGTTAAAGTTAAAGTCAAATAATACAAAAACAATCACACATTAAAAGCCAGATTGAAGAGGTGAGTGTGTTGAAGGTGGTGAGGTCAGTGAAGTCTCTGATGGGGGAGTGAGTTCCAGAGGGAGGGAGCCGCTACGGAGAAGGCTCTGTCTCCCCAGGTCCGGTGAATGGTGCGGGTGGGAGGTTGGCTTCTGATGAGCGGTGGCAGCGGGAAGGGGCGTGGTGGTGCAGCAGGTCTGTGAGGTAGGGGGAAGGGGTGTGGTGGTGCAGCAGGTCTGTGAGGTAGGGGGAAGGGGTGTGGTGGTGCAGCAGGTCTGTGAGATAGGGGGAAGGGGCGTGGTGGTGCAGCAGGTCTGTGAGGTAGGGGGAAGGAGTGTGGTGGTGCAGCAGGTCTGTGAGGTAGGGGGAAGGGGTGTGGTGGTGCAGCAGGTCTGTGAGGTAGGGGGAAGGGGTGTAGTGGTGCAGCAGGTCTGTGAGGTAGGGGGAAGGGGTGTGGTGGTGCAGCAGGTCTGTGAGGTAGGGGGAAGGGGTGTGGTGGTGCAGCAGGTCTGTGAGGTAGGGGGAAGGGGTGTGGTGGTGCAGCAGGTCTGTGAGGTAGGGGGAAGGGGTGTGGTGGTGCAGCAGGTCTGTGAGGTAGGGGGAAGGGGCGTGGTGGTGCAGCAGGTCTGTGAGGTAGGGGGAAGGGGGCGTGGTGGTGCAGCAGGTCTGTGAGGTAGGGGGAAGGGGTGTGGTGGTGCAGCAGGTCTGTGAGGTAGGGGGGAAGGGGTGTGGTGGTGCAGCAGGTCTGTGAGGTAGGGGGAAGGGGCGTGGTGGTGCAGCAGGTCTGTGAGGTAGGGGGAAGGGGTGTGGTGGTGCAGCAGGTCTGTGAGGTAGGGGGAAGGGGCGTGGTGGTGCAGCAGGTCTGTGAGGTAGGGGGAAGGGGCGTGGTGGTGCAGCAAGTCTGTGAGGTAGGGGGAAGGGGTGTGGTGGTGCAGCAGGTCTGTGAGGTAGGGGGAAGGGGCGTGGTGGTGCAGCAGGTCTGTGAGGTAGGGGGGAGGGGTGTGGTGGTGCAGCAGGTCTGTGAGGTAGGGGGAAGGGGCGTGGTGGTGCAGCAGGTCTGTGAGGTAGGGGGAAGGGGTGTGGTGGTGCAGCAGGTCTGTGAGGTAGGGGGAAGGGGTGTGGTGGTGCAGCAGGTCTGTGGGGTAAGGGGAAGGGGTGTGGTGGTGTAGCAGGTCTGTGAGGTAGGGGGAAGGGGTGTGGTGGTGCAGCAGGTCTGTGAGGCAGGGAAGGGGCGTGGTGGTGCAGCAGGTCTGTGAGGTAGGGGGAAGGGGTGTGGTGGTGTAGCAGGTCTGTGAGGTAGGGGGAAGGAGTGTGGTGGTGCAGCAGGTCTGTGAGGTAGGGGGAAGGGGCGTGGTGGTGCAGCAGGTCTGTGAGGTAGGGGGAAGGGGTGTGGTGGTGCAGCAGGTCTGTGAGGTAGGGGGAAGGGGTGTGGTGGTGCAGCAGGTCTGTGAGGTAGGGGGAAGGGGCGTGGTGGTGCAGCAGGTCTGTGAGGTAGGGGGAAGGGGTGTGGTGGTGCAGCAGGTCTGTGAGGTAGGGGGAAGGGGCGTGGTGGTGCAGCAGGTCTGTGAGGTAGGGGGAAGGGGCGTGGTGTGGTGCAGCAGGTCTGTGAGGTAGGGGGAAGGGGTGTGGTGGTGCAGCAGGTCTGTGAGGTAGGGGGGGGGCCTGATTGTTGAGGGCTTTGTGAGTAATGAGCAGGACTTTGAAGTTGATTCTTTGACGGACGGGGAGCCAGTGGAGGTTCTGGAGGACGGGAGTGATGTGGTCTCGGGAGCGGGTGTGGGTGAGGAGGCGGGCAGCAGAGTTCTGGATATGTTGGAGTTTATTGAGGAGGTTGGATGGTATGCCGTAGAACAAATAACAATCAAAAATAACAAAATCAAATGTTTTAGATTTTTTTTTAGATGACTTTACTTTTGAAAGGCAACAGGGAAGCAAAATGCTCGATAAAGACCTTCAAGATATTCACATTTGACTGTTCCAGTGATTTTGGGAATGGTTTCTATTTGATTTGACTTGTAATACTTGTAAAAATAGAGACTTAAAGATTGATGCACTATTCCAACCCACATTATGCTGACTTTTTGATAAATGAAAGACCAATTTAGTTACAGACAGTCAACACTGAGCTCAAAATCTACCTCCATCAGCAGCCCTCAATATTAATTTGTCACATCCTTTTCTCGTCTGAAGTCAAACACATTAAAGACACCGGAACAATCTCAGCACAGTATTCACCTAGTTATGGAAAGACAGAATATTAAGACTACATTTAGTCATTAAAGCAGTATTTGCAGAGCTCAGGACTGCTGTAGGTTTTGCCATCTTGTAATTAGCATCAAGCTAATTTGGTCAAAGATTACAAATTCATCTAATGTGCGTGAGCTCTGCAAACCTGCCCTCCAGACATGGCTGCGGCTGGATGTGAGAAAAGGCTACTCCGGTTAATGAAAATGTTCATTAAAAATGGCCGTGTTGGTTTTGCTCGATCAGATGTGAAATCATTAAAGCCGAATAACTCCAAGCTGCTTCGAACGCAGATGGAAACGTTTAAAATGTCATCCCAGCCGTCTCCACTGCTCCTTCTGAAAACCATTTACTGAACGCAGGAGCAAATACGCACCGCTGCTTTCTCATGAGCAGGAAACACACTGGAAATGTAAATCAATATTCTCCATTGGTGGGTGATAGAATTCAGTATTCACATACGAACAAGCCGAGACAATCAGTGCTCCAAGGGGCTTTTATACAGTTAGTCATTCATGTTTTTCAACCACCAGAGTGATTAATGAAGCAGAAATTAACGCATTTTTAACCAATAATACAATGTTATTGTAAATCATTTAGCTCAACAGGCATGATGTACCCAATTGTGAAGCTCTTTGTAGGCAAAAACATGGACCAAAACACTTTAACCCTCCTGTTGTCTTCGGGTCAAATCTGACCGATTTACTACTTTCATCAATCATAACTTTTTTGTTTTACATTCGATTGCATTAAGGCTTCATGATATCCTTCACAGGAGACATTTGAACATATCAAATGGCTGATCAACACTCATTGCATTTTGGATGATTTAGTCGACTTTGTAACACCATGGTGTTCCCGGGCAAACACGACCGCCATAAAGAAAAGGAATTAGTAACCATCCGGATCAGATAACACACACACACACCCACACCCCCCCCCCCCCCCCAACACACACACACACACACACACACACACACACAACACACACACACACACACACACACACACACACATACACATACACATACACCCACACACACCACACACACACACAACATACACACACACACACACACACACACACACACCACACACCCACCACATACACCCACACACACATACCACCCACACATACACCACCCACACATACACCACCCACACATACACCACACACACACACACACACACCACACACCCACACACACACATACACCCACCACCACCCCACACACACCACACATACCCACCCACACACACACACATACTCGAGATGTGTTTCCCGCTCTTATGTGCCCATCCCCCACATGAATCACACCTGGCACACCAATACATGTTCAGTGTCTGTTCTTTGTATATTTACTGCAGTTGTTCATGTATACCAGTAGTCTGATACAATATGTACAGTTTGAAAGGGTGTCAAATTAAATGTGGTGATGATTAATAGTTTTTGTGTTAATGTAATAGCAGTTAAAACAGGACCGGTCAAATTTGACCGCGAACACCAAAGTAAGGGGGGAACGAAAACAATAGGAGGGTTAAATAGATGTATAATAGTTTATTCCCTAAAAAAATCTTCCTACTTTGTTTATATATAAACAAATAACACTTCAAATTACCACTGAAGAATTGTACATCTGTATTTACATTTCTCTCATTTTCTTACCTAAATTAGTTTTTGGAACCTTTTTCATTTAGGTAATTCTAGAAAGAATAAGTTATCTCTGAATAATTTGTGTTTTCTTTAGTTTTTTGAGTAACTGTAATCCTGCTAGTAACACCACATTTTAGATCTAACAGTAATCTGATTACATCTCTTTTTATTTAACTGTTGTATCCTGTTTACGTAATCCCGTTACATCTAATCCGTTACTGATCAAACTTGGTAATGTTGTTATTTTATGGAGGCTAATCACCAGACAAATGCAGACTGGGAATCTGTAGGTGCTGAACAAAACCATAATAATGATAAAAACATAGAAAAGTGAAATAAAAATAACCCTTTCCCTTACTGTTGTGTCCTTGACTTATTAATAGATTTACTTTGTTTTTATATAAGTCATTTAACACTTGTACCACTGAATGTTTGTACATCTATACTTCCTACCTACATCTGGGTTCTTGGTAAGATTCAGTAATCTGAATCAGTTTTTTGTGTCCTGATTGTTAGGGAATCATTTGCTTAGGTATTCAACCTTTGACCCAGTTCATCATCTTCCCCTCTCACTGTCTCCTTTCCCACGGCATAGGTCTACGGCAGGGGTGTCAAACTCAAGGCCCGGGGGCCAAATCTGGCCCTCGACCTAATTTGATGTGGTCCGCAAGAGCTTGCAAAGAACATAATATACAATACAATTGGTGTAATTGTTGAATATTTACTTTCAATTATTTGCCCTAGACTTCTGCTTTCAGACGTAGTTATTTAGGAAGATATTACCAGATCTGATAATAATCCAATGCAGGGCCAACAATGTAATATAACACATTATTTAATATATATTATATATTTACATATGTATATTTATATAAATTACAACCGGCCCTTTGAGTGCAACCATAATGCTGATGTGGCCCGGGATGAAATTGAGTTTGACCCCCCTGGTCTACGGCCTTGGGTTCTGCTGCTATCTCTCTTAAGGAGGGGCAGCTTGGGCGCATTGTTGTTGCCAGTCTGTGACCGAGCACAAGCCGCCGTGAGGTAGTTTACTGTTCAGGGACGAAGGCTCCCTGGCGCACGTTCTTTCCTATGGACGAGAGCTCTAGTTAGATTCAGGGTCCAGGGTCTCGCTGATGAGGAATGTTGATTATTACACTCCGAACTAGTTAAAACCTCGAGCTGCAGAAAGAGTTCTTCAGAATTGGTTTGCAACCGCTGTGTCAACTCGTGACACACCTCATGTCTTGTGAATTCTCCGGCCGAAGCTCCAAATAAACCGTCAGTGTTTGCCGTCAAAGCTCCAGCTCTCCTCGTGCCTCTCTGAGTCCTGACTCTCCATTGCTACAGAAGTTTCCCCCACACTGATTACGTAAATATTGTACATGTAATCCATTACTCGACAAGCCTGGTAATATTGTCATTTTAATGCAGATTAAGCTTTAATGTAAGCTAATCCCCAAATGAATACCGAATCCAATAGCCTATAGAGACTTTATTTAATTTCAAAGTTAACCAAGAATCTCACACTTTTTATTTTTCCATTGCGGATGGACTATATATCTATAGATCTATATATTTATTTGATTTGAATTACATTTGTTTTGTAATGTCAATGGCAGGACCCTGGGGGAGAGGGATTTGCTGATGCAGTGTACCGCCAGTATTTCACTGTTCTATATGAAAAATGTCAAGCCGTTCCTTCACCCTCTTGTGTCCCCAGGTGACGGCGGACATGTACCAGGTGCTGAGCTCCTATAACTACACCCTGGAGTACAGAGGGCTGGTCACAGTGAAGGGCAAAGGGGAGATGATGACCTACTTCCTCACCAGCGGACCCCCGTGCAGTTAACCTCTGCTGAGTGACAGACAGACACACTGGGGTCAGGCGTTAACCCCGCCTCCTGCAGGCGATGGCGGACTGAGACTAAACAAAGCGCCGATTCTCAAAAACCTGCTGAGGAACGGATGAGGAAAATCCTCCCGAGGCTCAAAGCCAGCGCAGGAGACTCTTTGAAAAGAGGCCGAGCTCGCCTGAATCTGCCATTGAGACCAAAGATGTCCAATGTCCAATCAGAGCAACCGAAGAATATTCCTCTTCGCTTTCCCATTTTACAGACG